ATGATGTTAATCCTTCTAATGAGTTAAGCTATGATACCAATTGTTGAGTCAATCTGATGGATAAAATATCCAAGAGGGAGGTGAATTGGGAAATAAAAATTTTGGTGGAAGATTGAAAAGAAATTAAAAAAATGAACAAAATAATTTAGAGTAATTCGACTTTCTAAACCAAAGTCTACATCGACTATCTTAGCTAACCACACTAAGGATTTTCAAAAATTCATTTATTTGTAGCAACCTTTGAGAATAAGGTGTAACCTTACAACTCCCTCAAGAATTATATCCCAAATTCATGAGACACTTTCTCAAAGAGAAAATTACAAATTGCAAACTTATAAAAACCTCAAGGGAAATGTGTTTGCACAATTCAAGAACAAATAAGAACAATTGAGAAATAACAACAAATGAGTGCAAAAGTTATCTTTGAAAACAAAAAGAATATCGAAGAATGTTGACTTGATTATGTTCAAATTGATTGCTTTTGGCTTTCTCTTTGATCTCGTTTTCAAATATGACTTGGAATCTTGTTTTTATAATCCCTCTATTAATTATACTTGTTTGGTTTGTTGTAGGAGTAAATAGAGCCATTGGGAGGTATTTTCCTACAATAAATGTTGCCTAGATGCTTGTAGTATCGATACTCAGGCTTTGGGTATCGGTTTCCCTACATTAAATACAAAAATATATTCGTTGGGGAATGGCAATATCGATACTGGTACAATGGGTATTGGTACTACTTTTATAAGTAGTACCGATACTAGGTCTAGTATCGGTACCAAATGAGCATATTGGAATTTGATAATTTCAAAACCAAAAGAGAAGTATCAGTACAACTATGCGGAGTATTGATACTACTATATTGAGCTAGTATCAGTAACAAAATAGCATTTTGTTTTGTGAAACCTACTATCTACTTCATGAATAGTATCGATATTGTTCTTGTAGTATCGATACTACTATGCTTAAAATACATTTTTGACTCGATTGAAGTTTGAAAGCCTTAGTAAAAATTATTTCGAAGATATTTCCAATATAAGACTCACTTTTTCAATAGAACGAGGAGTACAATAGAGTTTTTGACATTAAAAATAATTTATATATTCGAATGAACAAATCGAATATAATCTAAAATTTGTTAAAAATATTTAACATTTTTGGTATATCAAAATATCAAGTTATGTTCAATAATTAGAATTAAAATAAAAATATTTTAACCCATGTGAACAATTAAAGTTGTTTAATACAAGTAAGTTGATTCTATTAAGTGATCCTAGTGAGAAAAGAAAGTACCATTTTTCTTAAAATTTCTAGATTTAATAAGTTGTATCTACAAGATGTATATTACTTTAAAATCATCCCAATCATTAAAAAACTATTAGTATGTTTTTTATTCATTAATTTTCTATTTCTATTTAATTTCTTGATTTATGGGATAATAAGGATTAGATAGCATGTCATTTAGGGGCGGAGCTATAAATTTTAAATTATAGTATCATAATTTTAAATTATGATATTTAACTAAATCATATATATATATATAAAGTTGGGGTCAATTTCTTTTGACATAAAATCAAAATCAACCCCCAATATTTACTAAAATTGTCATTTTGTCTCATATTAAGGTAAAAAAAAGTCCCCTAACGTTCAACTGAATAACCAATTTAGTTCTTATTTTTTTCTAAAGCATTTTGACCATCAACGTTTAATTTTAAGGTAAAAAATGTCCCTCTTTTAAAGTGTTAACAGTTTGTTAACTAAATATTTTCATACATAGAGGTTATTTTTTGTCCTAAAATAAAACATTTAGAGTGGTCATATTGATTAAAAGAAGTGTTGTTCTTTCTTAAGGTTATAAATTTGAATAGATGCGTCTATAAGATATGCATGTATACGTTATTAATAACTAAAAAATATTATAAATAAATAATATCTTATAACCATCTCAGATTATTTAAATAATAATGATAATTACTATAATAAATTTATAATCACGTATTAATAATATTATTATTATATTCTTTGCATTGAAAGCAACACACCCCCATACAGTTTCTAAAATGTTACTGTTGTAATTCATAACAAATACTTGATATTAAGTATCAATATTTATCGGGACTTAATATTTTTCGATTTCACAAATTTTTTACATCCAACAATAATTATGTTTTTCAAATAACTCATATAACGGCTGAAACTCAATTGATGATTTTAACCTTAAATTAAATTATTAATTTTTGGGCTCTTCATTTTCTCTTTGTTTCTTACAACAACGTGTAAGTTATTAAATTTTTTTATAAAAAAATAATTTTATATTAATCTGCCTTTTCTTATACATCTCTCAACGTTGTTTGTTCTTATGTTTGATATTCTTACTCACTCACATCGATTGTCTATTGGTTGTTATATTTGGAATTAGTGAAGGCTAGTTTATTGGAATTATATTGCACTCCACCTATCCCATTCCCTTGAATTTCGCGAGATGTTTCTTAATACTTGTGAGAGTCTACTATGAAAACAACATAATTTATTAAATATTAAAGTTGTCCATATAAATGATAATGTTAAGAGTAAATCACATCAAGCATCACTAAATTTTATTTTCTCTTTTATTTAATTTACTATACTTTTAATTTTTTAAATTGAATTTTATGGATTAAACTTTTTTGTCACTATACCATTTTTCTCTAACAACTGGATGATGTGGCTTTTTTTATTAATATATAATAATGATATATATATATATATATATATATATTATTAATTTATGATGTATAATATCTAAAATAAAACAAAAAAATTCTTAAATTTACACTAAACCCAAATATTAAATTAAAACCCCACCCTTACCCTCCTACTGTAATTTTAAATCTATTTAGGGTTGAAGGTGAGTTTCATCTCCATCTTTAAACATTAATCCCAATTCAAAAATCTTCATCTTTAAACACTAATCCCAATTAAAACAACAAGAAGAAGAAGTTAACCGTTATATCACAATGCAAAAACACATGAATTTTACTCTCAAAGATCAAAGCTTCATCAATGACTTTACTTTTCAAGTGAAGCTAAAATGGGAAACAATTGAGTTGACCCAACTTTTACAATGCTTTTTAAAATGAATTTTTTGAGTTCAGAATATTTTCTGACTTCAAAAGATGAAAGTAACAAAAAAAAACCCCTATTTGAGATAACGAAAATGAGCAAGAAATTATTTTAAAAAATGAATGTTTCTATTTTAAGTATAGCATATGGTCCAATTTTTCCAAGCTGTTTAGCTTGGCGATACAATCACTCAATGGTTTAACCATCGGATTTGTGACCCAACTTCGGAGGATGATGAAACGACGAACGGCTAGATCCATGAAGTTTAAGATATTTTTAGGTTAAATGGACATCCGATTTGTGTTCAAGAGGACAAAACGCGTTTGGTAAAAAAAAATTGAGACTAATTAGCTACTATAAACGATGACCGACGATGACTGACACGGTGGTCGGCGCGTTAGTTGGCCGCGACGAACGGTGGTCGGAATTCGAACAAGTTGAAAGAAAATGGAAGGAACAAAAAGAAGAAAAGAAAAAAAGAAAGTGAAAGAAAGTTTGAATTTTTATATAGATGCAAAACGACAATATTTTGGTAGAAATTTAGTTTTTTAAACACATCATTTTGATGAAATGTATCATATTATAACGCCGTTAAATAATTAACGGCAAATTGACCAAAACATGAGCAATGTCAAAGTTCAAAGAGTAAATTGAAAAAAAGTACAATGAGTGAAATAGGAGAGAGAATAAAATTTAGGGATGACCTGTATAATTTACCCTAATTTTAATATAAAAGTAAGTACTTAAATTATATATTTTTTTGTATTTAGGTGTTTAAATATTTTTGGTCAATTTAGATGTTTAATGTTATAAAAATTATATTTTAAGTATCTATGTCGTAATGACTGTTAAAAATTTCCATTAAATGACCTGTGTTGCATTAATATAACTCTGAAACTTTTATTTTTTAAAAAAATCTTAAAAATATTATTATATTTTTAAAAAAATTATTTTCCCTAAAATTATATATATATAAAAACAAAATCCCTAACCTAACTTACCCATCCTTGTCGGCTGTCGTCGCATATAACTCTTAAAATAGGACTTTGAGTTCCATTGACGCAAAAGCAAAATAGGACTTTGAAAAACAATCACATATTCCCTCTGAGGGAAGTTTATGATTTTGATCCATTTATGTTGTTTTTCTTTGTATGGGTTTTAATTTGCTCACTACTGGCTCTCAGCTCAATAACTTAGATTTGAGAAATGGTTGATTCCTTTTCGTGAGTTCTGCCAGGTGATGTTTGGGAGATATTGCGCAACGGCTTTGATTCCATTATCATGGAATTACAATGAAATATAATTTCTTTTAAAGACGATTTGCAGGTGACCACGGTCGACAAAAAAATGGCAAGGATAGCGGTGGTGGCGACTATAACTGTAACGGGTAAAGGAGATGATAAGATTGGGGTTAGACACCCAAATTGATCAAGAAAAAATTTAGACATTTAAGCGAGGAAAGAAGTATAGTTTCAACTCTTATTATTATGTTAAGCTATAATAAGATGGAGAGATAAAAATAATAATAATTGTACTAAATTCATAATTGTCGGAGTTCTTTTACAAATGTTGCTCTCAACCTAGCGTTGGGGGCAACCTACTACCTTACTTCTCTCTTATCTCATTATATATGGGAATAGAGTCAATTAATTAATTAATTAATTATTATAAGGTAATATGTGTTCAAAAACAATTCTAAATCATTTGACATTGATCGTTCGTAAGGTTTAAATAAGAAAAACTTAAGAAATAACTATATTTATAATTATGTCTTAATAATGACACTATTATATTCTATGCATTGAAAGCAACACGTTCCACACAAACAATAAAAGTAAAAAAATTGTTCTACTAACCTAATCCCAAGCTCCACATAAAACCAACCATTGCAAAACCACAAGTTTGCTTTACATTTCTCTATCCATTTCCCTCAAATATTTCTCTTTTCCTTGTCTAAATCATGGCCGAATCCTTTGTATTTAACGTTGCAGAAAACGTCATTTCGAAACTATGCGATCTTGCTCGCCAAGAAATTAGCCTAGCTTGGGGCATTCGGGCGGACCTTGAAAAGCTTGAAAGCACGTTAACCACCATCAAAGCTGTGCTTTTAGATGCTGAAGAGAAACAGGTTCATCGGAATCAACTCCGGGTTTGGCTACAAAGGCTGAGGGACGCCTGTTACGACACAGAAGATGTATTGGATGAATTCGAGATTGAAGCATTGAGGAAGCAAGATCGGAAAGAGAGTAGGATCGGAGAGAAGGTAGGTTATTTCCTTTCAAGTTCAAACCCACTTGCTTTTCGATTTAATATGGCCCAAAAGATTAAAGAAGTACTACAGACCTTCCATGATCTTCCTGAGTTGAAAAACAACTTTCATCTCACAGAGATATATGATTGGTCAAGGCATGACCGGCGCTTCGACAGGGAGACCCACTCCTTCGTGCAAGCATCGGAGGTAATTGGCAGAGATGACGAGAAACAAAAAATTGTGAACATGTTAACGCAAGATGATCCAGCTGGTGAGGAAGACATACCGGTGCTTGCCATAGTTGGATTAGGAGGTCTGGGGAAAACGGCTCTTGCCAAACTGGTTTTCAATGACATTTGTGTGCATAATCACTTTGAGTTGAAACTCTGGGTGTGCGTTTCCGAAGATTTTGATCTGCAACTATTGGTGCTAAAATTCGTTAAATCCTTTAAAGCCGAAATGGGTGGTGATGGAGACCTTGGAAGCATGAACTTGCAACAATTGCAGATGGCATTGCGAGACTGCTTGAATGGTAAAAGGTATTTGCTTGTGTTAGATGATGTCTGGAATGAAGATAACAAAAAATGGGTGGAACTGAAACAGCTATTACCCGGAGGAGCTACCGGAAGCAAAATCATTGTTACCACTAGAAGCAATAAAGTAGCAAAGATCACAGGTACAGTCTCCCCACACAATTTGAAAGCTCTTCCTTACAACAAATCTTTATCTTTGTTTCTCAAATTTGCTTTCAAGAAAGGGGAAGAGAAACAACATCCAAACCTTGTGGAAATTGGCGAGGAAATTGTCAAGAAATGCAATGGAGTTCCACTGCTACTGAAGACATTGGGGAGTATGCTTTTCTCCAAAACTGCAGAGCGGGAGTGGGAACTTGTGAAAAATAGTGAGACTTGGAGATTAATGGAGAAAGATGATGAAATGGTTTATGTTCTGAAACTAAGTTATGATCAACTGTCTCCTAGGTTGAAGCAATGTTTTGCTTATTGCTCACTCTTCCCCAAGGATTATGAATTTATCGAGTTTGGGTTAATCTCATTTTGGATGGCTCATGGTCTGCTTGAATCATCGGATGAAAATGAAAATCCGTTTGATATTGGTAGGCAGTATTTGAACGAACTGTCGTCAAGATCTCTTTTTCAAGATTTTAGGGTGGCATTTCTTTATAGTGTATTCAAAATGCATGATCTTTTACATGATCTGGCCTTATTGGTAGCAAAGAACGAGTGTTGTTTGGTAAACATGAAGATACTCATTTTTTTCATTTAAATATTATTTATATTATTATTATTATTATTATATATTATTATATATATTATTATATATATTATTATTATTATTAAAAAATTTACAAGCCCAAATCCCAGGCCCAACCAGAATCGGCCCAGACCCAAAAGGAAACCCTAAACTAATTTAGGGTTTCAGCTAGGGTTTCTAAACCCTAGCACTACTGCTGCCGCCTCCTCCAGAAGTCCTCAGCCACCGCCGTTGGTTCCAGAAGGCCACACGTCCGTTGCCTACACTCCACCAATGCCACGAAGCCGCCCCGAAGAAGCCTCCAGAAGCTCTGCTGCCACAACCCCGACCGTCCACGTCGCCTCTATGGTGAGTCACCAGCATAGCTTTGGTGACTCACCGAACGTTTCATCCTTCAGACCGGTCCGACGAGAGCCACACTGAGGCTATAAAGCCTCAGTTCCCCTGCAAGCAAAAAAAAACCCAGCAAAAACAGAGAATAAAAAAAACAGAAAGCAACAACACAACAACAACAAAAAAAGAAAGAAGAGAAGCTTACCGAGGAAGCCACGACCGCCGGACCTCACCAAAACCTTCGAAAATCGAAGGTACTTTCTTAGATTTGCTCCAATCGGGAGCTATTTAGAAGAAAAGATCATCGGAACCGTCATTAGGACGTTCCGATCTATATTGTGGTGTAAAAATAGATTTTTCCGGCCACCGGATGCAGTGGCCGGCGGTGAGAATCACGGCGGCAGACGGCTTCCGCCCGGTGACTGGCTTCCCTCCGATGAGGGAAGCTAGAGAGAAGGGAGAGCTTTTTATTCTCTCTCAGTTAGAGAGAGAAATAAAAAAAAAAGAAATGAGAGCTGGCCCGAAGGGCCAGCCGGTTTCAGGCTTAAATAGCCCTTCCCGAACGACGTCGTTTCGGGGAGGGCTATTTGTGTAATTTTTAAAGGTTAAATCCCGTCCGCAGTCATCCTAACTTGTAAACATTCCATTTTAGTCACTAAATCAATTTATAATCCTTATAATTCGGTTCTTTAATTTTAATTTTATTTATTTTAGTCCTTTGTATTAAAATAATATATTTAGGGTAAATAACAGATTTAGTCCGTTAATTTTAATAATTAATATTTTAATTTGAATAGTATGTTTTAATTTATTTTAATCTAATATCCGAATTTTATATAATTTTATTTAGTCACTAAATTAATAAATAAGGAAAATAACATGTTTAATCCCTGAAATTTTAATTAATATTGAATTAGGTTTTTAATTTTAATTTAATTATAATTTAGTCACTAATTTTAAAAATTTTCATTTATTTTACTGCTTCTAAATATATAGTTCTAATTGTATTTTTATCATTTTAATTTTACTTGTTTATATAAATAAATATTATTTTTATTAATATTATATAGTCATATAAATATATATATATAATAAATAATAATTTATGTGTGTTTTTTACATAAATTATTTTTATCATATTTTAATATTTATTTATTTTTCAATATCGAAGAAAATGGCAGTCTTAATACAACTGGATGTCCTATTCTGGTATTTTAAAATTAAATATTATAAAAAAATTATAATTTTATTTAAATTATTATATTAATATTTATTAATATCGAAGAAAAGAGCTGTCTTAAGGCACCTAGAAGTCCTTTTCTGATATTTCTAAATAAATAAATATTTTATTTATAAATATATAAATTATTTTTTTCTTTTTTCTCATAATTATAATTTTGAAATAATAGGATTATAAATTAAATATATTTTGAATTTTTAAATTTCTAATAATAGAGACAATTTATAATTAAAAAGTACCAATTTTGGGCGTTGTAGGGGTGCTAATCCTTCCCTAAACGTAACCGACCACGAATCTCTTTTTATTATTAAAAAGAAAGAATTTTTGGTTATAAACGCAGATCAGTTCATCTTTTAACTGATGTTTTCTTAAAAACTCTGTTAAAAGATAATTTTTAGGTATTCGACCTACCTGACCCAAAAGGCCGATGGCGACTCCCAAATTATTTTCAAAACCATTTATTCACATCAATTTTCCCGTCAAGTAATAATTCGTGCCCGGACTAAAACCGGTTACGACAGCTTGGCGACTCCGCTGGGGATCTGGTCAAACTTTTAAAATCAATTATAAATTGTCTCTATTAATTATAAATTAAAATTTCATATATTTTATTTATAATTCTTTCTTTTCAAATTTTTTATATATTTATTATTTTCATAGTATTTATATATTTTCTTATTAATATTTCATTTTATTTGCAAGTATTTTATTTCATTATTTATTTTTCTGTCAGAGGTTTGAACATTTCTCCTCACACACAACACTTGCATTGCATAACATAAAGCTCTATAATTGAGTTTGTCCCTTTTAAGTGGGAGTGAAAGCGACGTCTTCGTGAGAATTTATTCTCCGTGTCAGACCTAGCAAGTAACTTTCGGGGTTCATATGCTCTATGTCTTCGTGATAATTTATTCTCCGTGTCAGGCATAGAGAAATGTATCCCCTCGAATTGAACTCGATCCACTTTAGTCTGTGATGGACTAGGATTGAGGGTTAGCAACCCAAGGGGGCACTAACAAGGACAATTCGGGTACCTTTATTCTTAGATCTGAAACCTTGCATATAATAAACCCTAGAAACTATTCCGATCGGAAGTCATGCCAAAATTTTATCCAAAATAAGTGTACACACAGGATAAATGAATGCTAACTTTCCTTTTAATTTATTTATTTATTTTCTTACTGATTAAATTACATGTAAATTTAAATTATTTAAATTATTATGAAAAAGCATGTTTAAATAAAGATATTTAGGTAGATATTATTATTAAATTTCTTTATTACATAAACTAATTCATTTCTTTTTGTGTGTTCTTTATTTCTTCTGTTTGCATAGCATCATACAGGATAAAAGGCATTGATCCTCGTGTTAATTATCTCATTGGAAAGCCTTCATCCATGGATAAAAAGTGTTCAAATCAAATAATTCTAAACTCAGAAGTAAGACAGTGGACTGAGGACTTACAAAGACAAGGAGGAGACAGCCTGCAAGATGATTATGTATCAGACTTGGCCAGTTATGCTCCAGTTTCGCTAAAAAGAAATGACATGCAAGATTTGCGAAGCATTTGGGAAAGTTGGGACTCAAACAAAAAGTTACAGTTTTATCAGACTTACGGAGACATCCCATATTTGCTCTATGTCGAAGTTGATGATGACTTACTTCGAGCCCTAATTCAATTCTGGAATCCAGGGTACAATTGCTTCACTCTCAATAAGGAGGACTTGGTCCCTACTATTGAAGAGTATACAACTTTGCTACATATAGAAGGGGCTTTGGAAAATCGAATTTATTCAAAGTCAATTAAAACTCAAACCTTTCGAGTTAAATTAGCAAAGATTGCCAGAGTACGAGAAGAATGGGTGGCATCCCGTACAAAACAAAAAGGCGAAAGCGAAGGCATTGCTTGGACCAACATTAAAGAACTTATTCAGAGTCATCTAGACACTAAAGTACGATTCGATCTATTTGCACTGGGTATGTATGGTGTGGTCATCTTCCCAAAAGTATTGGGATATGTTGAAGCTGCAGTAGTAGATTTGTTTGAGCAGTTACCAAAAAAGATTAATCCTGCTTCTGCAATTCTAGCAGAGACTTTCAGATTATTAAATGCTTGTAGAAAGCTAGGAGGTGGACGATTCTCAGGGTGTACCCAGTTGTTATATGTTTGGATCCGTAGCCATTTCTGGAGGACAAAAAAGGTTTCATACCGGCGCTTTAATACGGATTATTCACCATTAAAAGAATTTCTGGAGCAAGAATGGCCGAAAGAAATTAAGAAATATATGTGGATTAATGTCTTTCGAAATCTGCAAAGCAATGACATTGTTTGGCGAGCCCCGTGGCAAATCCAAAGAGAATTCTTTTACATATGTGGTGATTACAACTGGATAATGCTGCTCGGATTATGGGGAGAAATTGGATATGCACCACTTCTGGTCATAAGACAATATGAAGGTCGTCAATTTGTACCTGTCACCGCTGGATTACATTCATCTGAGTTCGCATTCCACAGCAAAAATTATAAAAGAAATATCATGGAAGCCGTTACAGCTTGGAAAACAACTTTTTGTATCCGAGCTAAAGCAGCAAAAGAAATGCTAACTCCTGATTATGAGGAATGGAGATCTGTCAGGAAAAATGAAAATATTCCTCTACCAGATCAAAAAGAGGATATCTCTATGGAAGATCGCATTAAGGTGGTTCCATCAGAGATTGAAATCCTGAGAGCTGAGTTTGAAGCAGAAAGAGAAGGCTGGTCGAAAGAATTAGAGCAAATGAGACAAGATAAAGCTATGTTGGGTGTTGACATTGACTTTCATTCATCACAATGTGCAATGTTGAGAGAAGATAAAGAAAAAGTTGATGATGAATTCAGAGCATTAAAGAAAAATTACCAGAAGTTATATAAATCCCGGAAAGCATCAGGACCAAGCCAATCAACAGTACAGATGACCAGAGAATTGAACATCGAGAAAAGACGAGTTGAAGATCTGAAAGGAAAGAATAGCCGTCTACTCAAAAGCCTTGAGAAAGGAAAGCAAAAAATAGAAGATTTTGAGGTTGACAGAAGAGAGCGAATTATAAAACACAAAGCTGAACACCGCGAAATCATGAATGAAATGCAAAGAGAAAGGGATCAAGCCAAAGATTTAGAAGAGATGAAAAATGACATCTTTGATAAATTTGAAGGTGAGAAAAATATCATGTTCAAGGGATTTGAATCTGAAATGAACCAGTTGATTGCCGAACTTGAAGTCAGAGGCCAAAAGATTGAAGAGTTCAATATTGAAAAAGAAAAATGGGAGTTGGAAAGAAAGAATTTCAACACCAAACTTGAGGTAGAGCAAGAAGTGGCTAGCAATTGGATGCAAAGATACAGAAACAAGAATGTTCAAATCCAAAAGATTAA